GCTGCCCGCCGGCCGGCGCAGAGGAAGCGCTTCCACCCGGCCCCCGACGGCGCTCGTTTAACCACATCCGCGCCTCCGCTGGAAACGCTTAACGGCGCCGGTCACCGGGTCCCTCCATTTTGAAAGGGAAAAAAGGCTTTCCCCCTTCCCCTACTCTCAGGAGCTGGAGCCGGAGGATCCGCGCTCATGGCGTTCAGCCCCTGGCAGATCCTGTCCCCCGTGCAGTGGGCGAAGTGGACGTGGTCCGCGGTGCGCGGCGGGGGCGCCGGCGACGACGAGGCCGGGGGGCCCGAGGGCGACGCCGAGGAGGAGGACTCGCAAGCCGAGACCAAATCCTTGAGTTTCAGGCAAGTACACGCATCCTGTCGAGATGCAAACGTGCTGCCATCCATCCTGCCATCCATCCATCCATCCGCCCGCCCGCGGCTTACTCTGTGTGCTTGTGTGTGGTCGCCCGCCCGCGTACCCATATTCACGGCCGTGCTACGTCCCCGCCTGTAGCCAGGTCCCCGCAGTGCGTTCGGAAGTTCAGGGCGTTCTGTCCTCCCGTGTATTTGCTCTCTCCCCGTTCAGTCTGAGCTTTCTGAGCCTAACCCGGAATCCGCAATCCCTCCGCACCCTGGTCGGCCTCAGTCACCTTCCCTGAGCTTCGGGCCCCCGGCCCCCGGCCCCACGCACGACACACAGTGTCATTGATCGCACCCGGCGGAACTTCCCCTGTGGGGAAGAAGTCGCTCCCACTGTGACCCAGAAATGCAGTCTTGGTAAAGAAGGTCGCGTGATGACAGGCCCTTGGCAGCTGGTGAGAAATGGTGGTCTCTGCTGAGCTGTCACCCGTGTGATTGCGGAAGGCAGGTGACAGCATTGTCCGCCTCGGGCCGAGGGAGTTGTACCAGGTAGAGGCCTGCCAGAGAAAAAGGCATCATGGCGAGAATTGGCTTAATTTTTTAGGGGAAGGGGGCAGTCTTAATTTTTAAAGCTCTGGGAAAGGGCTCCTGTGAGAAAAGGAATCTGTTAAAAATAGCTTCCTTCCCCCCACCCCACCCTTCTGGGTGTCAGAGGAAAGGATGACATCAAAATAAATGGTGCCGGAGAAGAGCTCCGGAGAATGGTGGAGATTTCAGGGAGACGGGATGCCAGACAAGCCCGAAGAGGGCCCTGCTAGAAAACCCGCGGCATCACCCACAGCCCAGTCCACTGCTGAGGACCAGTGGGTTGTCCAGTCGGGCAAAAATTCTGGACTTTAGCCGTTTCGTAGGTTATAAAGGGTGTTGGAAATACCGTTGAAAGTGGTAATTCCTCATTTTTCCCCCTTGGCAGCTCGGATTCTGAAGGTAATTTTGAGACTCCTGAAGTTGAAACACCCATCAGATCACCTCTCAAGGAATCACTAGGATTAGCAGGACCTGGGGCTGAAACCCAAGGTAAGGAAAGACTTTCATTTCCTGCCTCTTGTTTTAAAATTTAGAAAATGTAAATGAGGGAAGGAAAAGTGTTGAGGGCCATTAAAAAAGGGTTTGGATTGTCTCCTTACTGAGAAAAAGCTGTTTTAAACCCCCTGGTTTATTTGAAATGTTGGTTAGGATTGTGGTAGTCAGAGAGGCTTTCTTCCCCAAGTAGTTTATGCATTTGCAATATGAGATTATTATCATCCAACTTTCCTGCTGGGCCCTTCCCTTCAGCCCCTAAAAAACAAAAATGTGTGTAGGAATGTGTGTAGGAATGCAGTGGTTGAGGTAGTTTAGATTTGGCTTCACAAATTTCCCAGCTAAGTAGCCTCCAAGGGTGTGGCTGCAGACAAAAATTACAGGTAGGAGTGATGTGTTTTAGATAAAGAGGACTCTCTAGAGGCTGTTTCAGAATTGTTCTTCCACACAGGAGTGGTGGTAAGCCTCTCAGTCTACCTAAGAAAACCTGGTATAGACATTCTCCCCTAGCCCCTCAGAACCCAACCTTGAGCCTGCCCTTCATCTACAGAAGCTTCTGCTGTTCCACTTAATTAGTAGAAATCTTTTTTGTCACACAGCCAATTCTGAGTAAAATTTCACCTGTTTTGATAGAATTCATTTATCTGTTCAATGGAACGCACTATGTTTCAGTAGTGAAAAAGTCCTGCTCTTGCCCATCTAACATTACAGAGAGTGGTGGACCTTTTAAAGGTGAAGCAAAATGCACATGTCAACTTGTCTTAAGTATTATGGAGAAAAGTGAAGCAGGGGAAGGAGGATTAGGGTGTATGGTGTGGAAGTAGGAGGTGCTGAAGGGTAATTAGGGGGAGACTTAATGATAAGGAGACTTGAGCAGAGCCCTGAAGAAAGATTGAGGGAACAGCCTTGCAGATTCCTGGGGAGAGAACCCTTCTAGCAGAGGGAATGGCATCTGCAAAGGTCTGAGACAGAACCAACCCGTGATAATGTGAGACCTGTGGTGGGAGGGTGGCAGCGTGGCTGAATATTTTAGGTCCAGTGAAGGGGCCACGTGTGGCTGGAGTGGGGTGACTAGGCAGGGAGCAGCAGTTGCTAAAGTCAACCAAATAAGGGGCGGTCTGGATCATATTGTAATGATGCTGTGATTTTCTTTCTGCGTGAGATAGGAAGCCACACCGGAGGATGTGTTGGCTGCCTAGGGCTGCCTTGAGAATGTGCTACAAACTGGGTGGATTAAAACAACAGAAATTTATTCTCTCACAGTTCTGAAGGCCCAAAGTCTGAAATCAAGGTGTCAGCCAGCCATGCTCCCTCCAAAGGTCCTAGGGAAGAATTTTTCTGTGTCTCTTCTAGCTTCTGGTGGTTTCTGGCAATTCTTGGTGTTTCTTGGCTGTGGCAACATAACTCCAGTCTCTCCCTCCTTCATTACATGGCCATCTTCTCTCTACTTGTCTGTGTCTTCACACAGCATTCTTACAAGGACACCCGTCATTGGGTTTAGGGACCATCCTAATCCAGTATGGTCTCATCTTAACTTGGTTACATCTGCAAAGATACTATTAGCAAGTACCAGAGGAAGGGTTTCAGCACATTGTTTTGAGAGAACCCAGTTCAGCTCACAGCAGAAGGCTTTGAGCAGAGGGATTGTACTTTGACTTCCTTTTAAAATGGTTAGCTGGCTGCTGTCCAGAGAAGCAACTTTAGGATGGATGTCCTTTTTACCGTTTTTCTCTATTCCAGTGTCTGCCACTGTCACCCTACGGTGGCAGATAGAGCCAGCTTTCAGTTAGCCAGTTAGCTGATTTATTCATTTATTTTTAATCCTCACCCAAGGACATTTTTTCCATTGCTTTTCAGAGAGAGAGTGAAGAGAGAGAGAGAGAGAAAGAGAGAGAGAGAGAGAGAAAAAGAAAAAGAAACATTGGTGAGAGAGAGGCACATGAATTGGTTGCCTCCCTCATGCGCCCCAACCAGGGCCAGGGACTGAGCCTGCAACTGAGATATGTGCCCTTGGCTGGAATGGAACCCGGGACCCTTCTGTCTGCTGGTCGATGCTCTAACCACTGAGTCAAACCAGCTAGGGCCAGTTACCTAATTTTTGATCTGATTATGACTTTTTGTCTCCCAGTGGTTATTGTACTTTATTGCTTGGTAACTTCCTCACAGGTTGCCTAGAGAAATCAAGTTCTCTGTGGTAGACATTATGGCAGAGCTGGATAATTGGTGAAATACCAGCTTTTTGTGATTTGGTTTTGCTTTAAATTGTGAGCTCCATAATGTGTTTTCCCTGCTGAGAATTGAGAATGCCTTCCATTCGCCCCCAGCTGCTTTTACCATGGTTTTAGGCAGAGCCTGCATGGGAACAGGCAAGTTTGTGTATTGGAGAGCTTGCGTGTGCACTTTGCTTTGTATTTGTAGCACTCTCAGTGCCTGAAGATGCCACTTGTTCTTCAGAGCCTCCCTTTTCTTCTCTCAAGATTGGCAGATCAGAAGGGAGGTTTGAAAGCTTGAAAGAACGATTTTGTAGCCTTCCCATCAAATTTAAATAAAGCTCACAAGACTTGTTAAGTTGGTATTTGAAAGCCTCTTTGAATTGCCCTCAGCTTGGGCGGCCCCTTCCTCACCATTCTATCAGCTGGTAGTCTCATTCCTCCTGACAAATTCTTTGCTAATTGAATAGTGGCCTGTATGGCCCAGGCCTGGCCCCCAGAGTACCATAGAGACCCAATTGTTTGGCCCTTCCTGTGCCACTGACTCATTACAAGTTTTGGTGACTTACACTCTGTTTTCTCTCTAAAAGTTTTCCTTCATGAACCAGGAAAGCTCTGTGGAGTGATTCATGATTGCAGACCATGTATATATATGGTGGTGGGGGTGGGGTGGGGTGTAGAGTCTGGGAAACAACCACTACATACTATGAAATCTCTCAGTTTAGGGTCTTATGACCTGGTTTGGTCCAGTGTTTTATTTAGACTATAAAAGCTACATTGGCTGTCCTCTGCTACTGAGAGCTCCCCCACTAAACATCCACCGTTATTTACAGATTGCTACTCTTTGAGAAAAAGAACCTTAATCCATGCCGAAGCTCTGACATGTCCTTGAAACAACTAGTTAAACCTTCCCTGTTTAGTGTGTTAATTAGAGGCCTAGCTATTTCAAAGACATACTGTGGTCCTCCAGAATAGAAGAAAAGAGATGACAGGATCAATCCAGAGATATTTACTGCTGGAGGCCTTGAGGGGAATGCGGAGTTGTTTGTTGACACAATTTTGGTAGTCTAGATCTGGAATCAGCAAACTGAGTCTCAAAGACCAAATCTGGTCTCCCACCTGCTATTGCCTATTGTTCTGCTCAAGAGCTAAGAAGTGTTTTTACGTTTAAAAGAACATTTTGAAAAAAATAAGAAATTCAAATTTTAGGGCCATAAACAAAGTTTTGTTGTAATGCAGCCGCACTTGTTCATTTAGGTGTTGTCTGTGGTTGCTTTCACACTATAGTAGCAAGGTTGAGTACTTGGAACAGAGAACAATGGCCAGAAAAGCCTAACAGAAAAGTTCGCTGACTTAGATCCATACTTACAGCAATTTTGGTAAAAAATACAAAGTTTAAGGAGCAGAAAGGCTGTTCCTGATTAATTGGCAAATGAACTGTAGGTGCTGGGTGCCATTAGTGTAGGTTCCTATGGTCAGGTAATGCTTTAAGAAGAGACTGCTGTGGGCTGGCAATTTGTCTCTTGCAAAATGGAAATGATGTAATTGGTCTGTCAGTGTACTTGATTCTCAGTCAACTAAAAGATCTGAGTTATGACCACAGGAAGTTAGGAAAAAATGGAGAGAATTTGGGGGTCGTCTATTTTAAGTACAAACATAGACTTTTAACTTTTGCCCATTAAGTGTTTTTATTTATTTATTTATTTATTTATTTATTTATTTATTTATTTAATTTTTAAAATTCTCACCCAAGGATATTTTTTCCATTGATTTTTAGAGAGAGTGGAAGGGAGGGAGAGAGAGAGAAACATTGATGGGAGAGAGACACATCTTTTGGTTGCCTCCTGCACGCACCCTGACCAGGGCTGGGGAACAAACCCGCAACCCAGGTGCATGCCCTTGACTGGGAATCAAACCTGTGACCCTCCGGTGCATGGGCCAATGCTCTAACAGCTGAGCCACACCCACCCAGGCCTGTTAAGTGTTTTTAATATAACTTTGGGTGTTTGAGATTTGTAATTTGACTGTTGATATATTATTGGTATATATTGTATGGTTGGTATGGTATATTTATTGGAATGTTTTAGACCACAGACATAAGACTTAGAAAGAGATCTCCTTAAAATCTAAGCCTTAGATTTTTCGATTCTAAGGCTTTGGGTTAGATGTATAACCCATTAGGTATACATTGAAGTATTCCAGTTGAATCTACGAGTATGGTTCTAGTGATTTAGTTTAGCATCCTCTCCCTGTCCCTACCGCAGGGATTGCGTTATTAGAATTTCCTAGAAATAATGGAACTAATAAGAACTTTTAACATTACCTAGTTCAACAGTTCAACCCATGTGGCTTCTTCTACAACATCCCTTTTATTTTATTTTTGTATATGATTGACTCACAGCTTAAATTTTTATATTATATTGTTTTATATTATTGTAAGATGTTTAAGGCTTGAAAACCTCAGCAGCATGATACAATTCTATCCCCCCACATATAATGTCTTTAGTTCTCAAATTGGAGATTCTCACTTGATAGTAAATGGGATCAGAGCCGTGTTTCTCTGTGTTTTATTTACCCCAGTGCAAATGAGCCATGTAGGGGGCACCTCTACTTCTGTATGGTGCTGCACCTAAAAAGAATGTCTGGGGGAAAAGTATAGTGTTTTCAGCAAAGACTTCGGAGAGTGCAGAATCATAGTGCTTGAATAAAAGAATTCAGGGATAAGGGCAAAGTCTACCTGCCCAAAGTAAATATTTTAGTAACTGTCAAAGCAACAATTTTTTTTTT